TTACACTCGAAGTAGATTGGTCCCTCTAAGCGAGATCCCAATTCGTCGGTCATCCGACGTGACGTCGAGAGTGACCGACTGAAAGGGAACTGACACTTTACTTAAAGCTTTTATACATAATGCATAATAAAAGTAGTTTTAATGCATTAATTACATATATCTTGTAATGCATTGTATGATCTTATGAATAATTGCAACCACAGTTATAATATATTATAATACTCATTGTACCACCTTTAGGAAGTATAATGCATTAAAACATGACTAACAAACCTTCAAATATTATAATGCATTTTAACTTTGGTTATAATTATTTATGAGTAGATATAATGCATTGCAATGTGCATTATGAATACCTTTATAATGCATTATACTGTACCTAAAGCCTTTAAAGTGTTTTGTATCAGACGACGAGCAACATTCTATAAGTGCTACATTTTGACAAAAACCAAGTGAACAAAGAGTTTTTCCACTTTCTCTAGAATTTAAATGTTTCCATTTGAACTAGATCTGTCAAAGCTAATTGAATAAGATTAATTCAATATATTAAATATTTCTAAACCAGTTAAAGCAACTGATAACTATGAAAAAAAAAATGCGATTAATGACATTTAAATGTTTGAATTGAACTGTAGTTTAAGCAGGAAAGGCTTCAGACAGTGATTGAGCCGTTGTCAACGTGAAAGTGTGGAAAAAAGCGAAGAGACATTAAACAGGAAGTGCAAAACAGGGTGAAGGACAGAGACAGGAAGAGGGCATTTATAACATGCGAGCGTCGGGAGAGAAATGATAAATGCCTTTCAGCTTCACCATATAATTTAAAACACATCCAGAATGTTATTCTGGAGCGAAAACACATCTACACACAAAACCTCAACTTATAATCAAAGATAAATATATAGATACTAAGAATAAACGTCTTTGATTAAACAGCAGATGCATGGATGCCGGGCCCCGCCCTGTTTCTGTCTCTGATAAATCACTGGTTTCAGCACGACTCCGTCTGAATTGTTGTTTTTCTATGAAGGAAATTTCATTTCACTCAACCAAAGCCTTTTCTTTCTGGTGTTCATCTCTACCTCGGCTCCATCAGACGGTAGTTGTGTTTCAGAGGTTCATTAATCATGCTACGAGACGCGGGGCCCCTAATCCAGCCCTGCAAACCCACTTTATCAAGTTTCAGAGGCCCCCGAGGCCCCGAATGCAGCTCTAAACACAGGAAGAACCAGCCGATAAATCAAAACAACATCTTATTTCAGCGCAGCGTCCTGTGAGGTGCGTTCTGGACATCATCGGACACAAAACCTGACTCTAAAATACTAGTTCAGCCTGAAAAAATACATAAATAAATAAATCGGTCTTGTGTCATTCAAACCGGTTTGACTTTCTTTCTTCTGCAGAGCACCAAAAAATTTTTTTTTTATAATGGAGTCAAAAAACAAAAAAACAAAAAAACACTGACTTTCATTGTATGGGAACCAAAAAACACTAACATTTATTAAAATATTTTCTCTTGTGTTTCAAAAGAATGGTGCAACAACAAAAAAAGAGCAAAAAAGCAAATGCAAAAATATTGATATATATACCGAATATCGTCAAAACTAGGAAAAACACAGATATATACTGAATATCTTCAAAATGAGGAAAAAAACATATTGAGAAATTTACTGAATATCATCCAAAAATAGTGAGATGAATACTGAATATTGTCAAAATTTGGAAAAGTAGTGAAATATACTAAATAGCATCTAAAGATTAAGATACATACTAAATGTCATTAAAATTAGGAAAAATAATGAGATGCATAATTAATATTTTTAAAATTTGGGAAAAAAATTCGAAACACTGAATATATTTAATTATTAGGAAAAATATACATAATATTATCAAAATTTGGAAAAATGTTGAAATATATACTGAATACTCAAAATATTCATATATATATCAAAATTCAGATATCATCACATTTTCACTCATGAATATTAAATTAAAGGCCTAAATTTATGATTCAGGTATTTAAATTGCATATAAATTTCCTTCCATTTGGATTACACAGTTTTAACATAAAAACACTGATAAAATCAATACAATTATTGTTGTTTATTCCACAGCTAACCATATTTTAAACGTGTTCATACTTTTTAACTGAATAAATGTAATTGTTTTCACAATAAAGAGATTTATACTGATTTTAAGCAATTTGATTAAACACATTTTGCAAATAGGATTATTTAAATCAAATCAAATAGATGCAAATAGTTTATAATAAACTATGCCACAATTTGTTTGACTGCAGAAATCCGACCTGTTTCACTGATGTATGACTGACAAGCATGCATCACATTCAGTTTATATTAAAACCATGTAATCCAAATGGATGAAAATTTCATATGCAATTTAAAAAAGTCACAATAAAACAGAAGTTGCATCAGATCTTTTCTTGCATATTGTGACGTTCATCTGAGTGAGACAGATGATCCAAAAATAATAAATCTAGGGACTTGGTTCTGTGCATTGGCTGCTGACTGGATGTTAAGATGTGGGTGTGGCTCTCAAGTGTATGCAGATGAGCATGAGCTGCGGGGGCGGAGCTTAAGAGCACTAAATGAAAGGAGAAATCCTGCATATGTCATCAAAGAGATGACAGTTACGGTGTTTTGGTTAAACATTACAAGGTCAAAAACTGTTTAAAAATAACATGCATGGATGAATTGCTCATAAGATGATTACTTTTAAAAGTAATGCATTACAATATTGCGTTACTCCCTAAAAAAATAACTAATTATGTTAATTAGTTACTTTTTATGGAAAGTAATGCGTTGTTACTTTTGAGTTACTTTTTAAATCTGGGCAGGGCTTGCTTGTTTGTTTTTAATCTAAAAAAGTTCTATGTAAAAGCCCTTTCACAACAAAAGTGAAATGAATGAGCCTCAGGCTGAAGGAAATGTAAATTCACGTTTGTACAGTAGAGGGCGCAGCTCAAACTAATCACATGAAGAATATGACGCAGGAGAAGAAAGTTCAACACTATTCAGAAATAACGAAAATGAAACACAAATGTGTAATTTTTGCTTATTAGTCTGGTTGAATTGGATCATCGAAGGTCAGTAGCAAAGACATTGGTTAATAAAATGGGATTAAATAAATTAATGATATTCGTCTTATTTAACATATTTAATTATTGCAGGTTTCTATAATATTCTGAGTCCTGATTTCTGTCACCATGGCAACACCAGAGCTGTCAGTCAACACATAGGAAACAAAGTAACTGGTGTTACTTTTTTGAAAAAGTATCTCCTACTATATTTCCTTGTAAATTAAAAAGCTCACACTCACACTCACACACACACACACACACACACACACACAGTTCCCTGTATTTAAGCACTCAGCACGGAAGTGAGATTCTGCGGTTTTCCTTCCTTTCCTTCCTCACAGAGAGACGCTTGACGAGACGTCCCAGTGATCTTCTGCTCTGGAGACACAGCAGGACTCTCTAGACTAGTTAGTTATTGTGAGGATTGGTTTAACAAACACTAATGCAAATGTTTCTTACACACAGCCAAGCACTGTGTTTATTGTGATTAAAGTCTGTTTCAGGAGGTCAGAAAGAGAAAGAATAGAGAAGAGAAAGTGATCATATGATTTTTAAATCATATGTTTTGAAAGAAGTCTCTTCTGCTCAACAAGGCTGCATTTATTTAATCAAAAATACAGTAAAATGTGAACTATTATTACACTTTAAAACAGCTGTTTTCTATGTGAATATCTGTTAAACTGTAATTTATTTCTGTGATGCGCAGCTGTATTTTCAGCATCATTACTCCAGTCTTCAGTGTCACATGATCTTCAGAAATCATTCTAATATGCTGCTTTGCTGCTCAAGGAACATGTGACCCTGGAGCACAAAACCAGTCATAAGGGTCATTTTTTTCAAAATTGGGATTTATGCATTATCTGGAAGCTGAATAAATAAGCTTTCCATTGATGTATGGTTTGTTAGGATAGGACAATATTTGGCCGAGATACAACTATTTGAAAATCTGGAATCTGAGGGTGCAAAAAAATCTAAATATTGAGAAAATCATCTTTAAAGTTGTCCAAATTATGTTCTTAGCAATGCATATTACTAATCGAAAATTAAGTTTTGATATATTTACGGTAGGACATTTACAAAATATCTTCATGGAACATGATCTTTACTTAATATCCTAATGATTTTTGGCATAAAAGAAAAATCAATAATTTTGATCCATACAATGTATTGTTGGCTATTGCTACAAATATACCCCAGCGACTTAACACTGCTTTTGTGCTCCAGGGTCACATTTCTGATTATTATCAGTGTTGAAAACAGTCGTGCTGCTGAATATGTTTGTAGAAACTGTGATACTTTTCAGGATTCACAGATGAATAGAAAGTTCAAAAGAACAGCATTTATTTGAAACAGAAATCTTTTGCTACATTGTAAATGTCTTTACTGTCACTTTTGATCAATTGATTGCATTGTGGCTGAATAAATGTATCTTTCCATGATTCTGATTCTGTTACATGCTGATATGAAGCACTGCTGTGTGTGAATGATTCTGTGTTTAAACTCGTGTCCTTCACGTGTGTGAACTTGCAGCAGGTCAATCCCCTCGTCATCCCGCGGCCCCTGACGGGCCCCTCAACATTCAGCACAAATAAACACACATCCAGATCTTCAGGTTTCAGTCCAGGCATGAAGCATCAATCACACAGGCTTTACACTAACAGAACACACACACACACACACACACACACACACACACGCATGCACGCACGCACGCACGCACGCACGCACACACACACACACACACACACACACACTCACACTCACACACGCACACACACACACCCACACACACTCACACTCACTCAAACACTCACACACAGACAATCAGAACGGATCCTGACAGTGAATAAACTCACTCCACTATCAGATTGAAATCATGTGAATTCAGATTAATCTCTCTCACCTCGTTTCTGCATAAAGGTGAAAAGGTCGTCCAGAAACTCCTTCCTTTGCGGGTCGTTATCCAGCTCATATAACTATCAGACACACACACACAAATCAACCTTATTACACAAAATCAATATCTTCATACTCAATCATGCCAGAATCAATTCAATTAACAAATTAAACAGATCAATTAAAACACATTTTACTTTTTCACTCATAAATTGCTAGAAAATTTCACAAATAATTACAAATGGCAAGGAACATGAAATTTGAGCAGAAAGACTGAAATTGTAGTTTCTTACAAAACACACTCCAATAATCTGTTTTATTTACAACTGAAAAATCATTTTTTACAGCGTTTACATACAGAATGAAGTAAATTATACAATAATGAAATTAATCTATATTGCACCTTTAAATTGAATGAAATTGATACATTAATACACAAAGAAACAAATGTCTGGATTTATGCAGAAATTGCTAGTAAATTTCACAAATATTTACAAAAAAGAAAAAACAAAACAGCAAGCAACTTCTTGAAATAAACATGAAACTTTTAAGTAGAACAACTGAAATAGTATTTTTTTTCGTGAAACGTACAATAATTTTTGTTTTATTTACAACCTCAAAACATTGGTTTTTTTACCGTGCAGAGTGCAGACACACAGATTGCAGTAAATTATATGATAATTTTATAAAACTGCACCTTTAAATTAAACTAACGTATTAAGTAACACTGAATTAATCATGAAATTTCGAAGTAGAAAAATAGCAGTTTCTCGAAAATAATGTTGTTATATTTACAACTTTGAATTATTATTATTTTTTTTTTACAGTGCACGCAAACGGATAGACAAATAATGTATAACAAATAATGTTAAACGTGGATAAACTCACCTTGGCGAAATCTCTGGACGCTTCCCCTCTTCCACGAGCAACATCCACATCATCCGGCCAGGATACACCGCCGTTCTGCACACACACACACACACACACACACACACACACACGTTTGTTTCTGTGAATTGTCGAGACTTTCCATAGACTTCTATTACTTTTATACTATCCTTGTGGGGACATTTGGTCCTTACAATGTAGCATAAACAAGCACACACACACACTCTCGCACACACACACACACACACACACACACACTCACTCACTCACTCACACTCACACTCACACTCACACAGACACACACACACACACTCACACTCACACTCACACAGACACACAGACACTCACACAGACACACTCACACACTCACACTCACACTCACACTCACACAGACACAGACAGACACACTCACACACACACACATTCACACTCACACTCACACACTCACACACACACTCACACACACAGACACACTCACA